AATGGTGTAGTTTAAAAAAAAAAATCTGCAGTGTTAAGAGTTAAAGTCCATAATGTGATGACCCTTCTGTTTTCTGGATGAAATTACAGTCTTTGATAAAGCTATTACTTTTAGTACATATTGGCAGATTGTTTTCCTATTAAACAGAATGTAAAGTGTCTTCTTTATAATGTTTGGAGAGACTAAAAAATCTACAAAAACATGTTATTATGGTAGAAGATGTGTATTTTATATTGCATAATTGTTGATCATGACAATGTATCTTTAATACCTGGGTTGTTGTACCACCAGTTTAAAGTAACATTTAAAACATTGCCTGGAGAGACAAAAAATGTGCTTGATTAAAGCCATGTCACCAACTGACCTGTGATCAAAAGCCACAACTATAGTTATTAAGTGAGTTGTAGCTGTTTTTAGTATCTATAAAAATCTCATTCTGGTAGCCTAGTTTTCAAACATTATTTATTTTGGTAGCTTCTCAAGTTATGATTTACACACACATTAATAAAGATGAGAAATTAACATGGAAAATAAGCCTCCTTTTCTTATCTAACTTTTGGCAAATCACAGGCTAGCTTCTTTGTTGAAAGTCTGATCCTTAAATACCATTTATTTGTAATCCCTTCTTTGTCAAAAACAGTCTAATAGTTACTGCAATTAGACATATACCTGCCATACCACATACCTGGTCCACCTCTTGATATTGGTCACCCAAGAGAAGTAGAAGCCTTTGTCCATGTAAATATCAGTGCATCATTGCTTGTCGCACCTTTTATTTATCATAGCCACAAAATGAAAATAGTCCTCTGCTATCCATCTATAGAAGAATGGGTGAACAAAACAGGATGTGTCCATGTGATGGGAAACTAGTCAACAATACAAAGGAATAAATCACTGATAACCTCCATCTAAATAAATGAACACTTTTGCTGAGGCTGGCTTTGAACTCACTATCCTCCTGCCTCAGCCTCCCGAGCTATTGGGATTCCAGGTGTGTGCCACTGCGCTCGGTGGAATGTCTGCTTTTATGTGCTTCTCATGAGCTTTTTGGAATGGCTGCCAGCTTGAGCAGTGCACTTCTCCCAGAGTGCATGGTGATGATCTAGGTTCTCACTGTTACCTGGGAAATGCTACTTTTATTTTGCAGTAGAAATACAAAAGAAAACCTGAGCTCAGTTTCTCGTGGTCATAGTTGAATTTGATGGAGTAATCTAGTTGCTTCCCACATGAGATTCTCTTTTCTTTCATCAGAAGAGAGTGTCATGGAAAATAACAGGAGAGCAATTTTACCTTTGTGTGGTCCTCAGGGTCTAAGATTGTGTGTCTGGCACATGGGAAGTGAATGGATTATTACAGTATTGTGCTGTGCGTGGATAGTTTAGGACCAGGAAACAAGCATTGCCTTCTCAGCCTTGTGTGTGGAGTGGGGGACTGCAATCAGTGCTTCTTTGGGCACCAAGTCTCAAGCACATCGTTTAGCTTTTTTGTTTATGAACTGCCATGGCACCACAGCATATGGCCATTATGGACAGACAGGGATTGGGGGACATGGTCAGAAGGAGGTGATAAGGGCCCGAAGCCATTTGGGTTAATGAGGGATTGGGAGAGATCTGTAGGGAAACCATAATGATAAGGAGGATGTAGACTCTTCAAGGAGGATGGAATGAAAGAAGTCTGGGTGTTTGAGTTTGAAACACCATGGCAGACTATGACAGGGATCTGGTGGAGAGAGAAAAAAGGATTGAGTCACTTAGAAAATTCTGGTCCCTGGTGGCTGTGGCCAGGGCCAGGACAGGACTTATTGCTCCTATAGCTTATAGCTTCATGAAGCTTCATGTTAGCTAATAGGCTCTTGGTACAAGCCTTCTATCAGCTAATACTGTGTATGTAAAAATGTTGCACAGCAGAAGTTAGTCTCTTGAGTTCCCATTTCCACAATAGATTTATGAGAGTTAGGAGAAAGGGGTGATCAGATGAGCAATCAGAAAAACTGTCTTTGGCCATTCTGCCGGTGCTACGGTGTGTGTGTGTGTAGTCATACCTGAGTGGGCTGAGCTGCATTGACCATGGGGAGTGAGGATGCCCGCATTAGCCGGAGAATGAACCAGGTTCATTAGGAACATAACTGCTTTCCCAGAATCCAGAGCTCAGATAGTGAAGAGGGACATTAGCAAGGTCCCTGAGCCCTGGGTGCAGGCAGCTGTTCTCAAGGAGGATCCCAGGAGCAGACAGAAGGCTGCCAGCCCTTTCCTTTGGGTTCTGGCCATGTTGCCATGCTTGCCTGGCTGGCTGAGAGGACTTTCTAGCCATTTCACTCAGTGATGGAGGTGGCTGTCCTGGTCTGCACTGGGGCCATATTCATTAAGTGATTCTGCCATCACCAGGGTCCCTGAAGGGCCTGGTGCAAGATCTAATCTCATCCTGCAGTGAAGACAAATAAGAACAAGTTAGGGCATAAGTTTGTTTGAATAAGTTGAGATCAAAGGGGAATTTTAAAATTGTAAGCTGGGATTGTTTAATGTAGTACAGTGATATATCCCTGTTATAAAAGGATCAAATTTTCACTGAAGCATTTTTGTTTTCTTAAAAAGCTGAAAAAGTGGGGCTAGGGTTGTGGCTCAGTGGTAGAGTGCTTGCCTCACATGTGTGAGGCACTGGGTTCAATTCTCAGTACCACATATAAATAAATGAATAAAATAAAGGTCCATCAACACTAAAAAATATTTTTAAAAAACTGAAAAAGTGCTTTGTGTTGCTGAATGTTCACGGTGAATAGTTAAGGGAATATATACTAAAATATAAATTGCTTCATGTTGGTTGGCTGTATGTTTTTATAACCCATTTAAGTACAATCGAATAACACAAAGTGAATTATTCACTTTGAAATAATTGATTCAGTTGTATATTATGGTTTACCGCACTTTTCTGCACATAAGATCTACTTCACTAAAATATTATTACTGTATATTAGTGTATATACACAACACCGGAATGCTTTCTGACAACATGGTATAATTTAATTTTGTCATTAGAAAAACACATGCCACCTCTGCAAAGAGTATAAATGTTTATGATGGTGAATAAAATGTTTCAGTTTAAACAAATATAAAATATTTTATAAGCCCTACATTTTTTTATGTTAAGTGCCAGAATACAAACAGTTAAAAGTTTCACTTCTATCCTTTTGATTGATATTCTAAGCATTGATGGAAGCAGGAAGATTACAAGTTTGAGGCCAGCCTGGTCACTTAGCGGGACCCTGTCTCAGAATAATGAAAGTTAAAAAACAAAACAAAAAAAAAAAACAACCTAATTTTGGGGCTGGGGATATAGCTCAGTTGGTAGAGTGCTTGCCTTGCATGCACAAGGCCATGAGTTCAATCCCCAGCACCACAAAAAACAAAAACAAAAACTTAGTTTAAGAAAGGTGAGCTTCGGGCAGGGGATGTGGCTCAAGCGGTAGCGCGCTCGCCTGGCATGCGTGCGGCCCGGGTTCGATCCTTAGCACCACATACAAACAAAGATGTTGTGTCCGCCGAAAACAAAAATAAAAATAAATAAATAAATATTTAAAAAAAAAAAAAAAAAAAAAAAAAAAAAAAAAAAAAAAGGTGAGCTTCACATTACTCCTTAGGAGCTAATTTAGATACATAGAATGGGAGCTTCATGTAAGACCACTGGACTAATACCTATTCCATTCTTCTGGAGTAAAGAATGTGCTCTAATACCATAAAAATTTGGGAAGACATGGAGCCAAAGGGACAGGGATTGGAACTGACTCAAGAATCATGAGAGACTTAAGGGTGGTAGAAGGCGAAGGGTCTTGAGAGTTGATGTGGCTGCCATGGTTGGAACTGAAGGGGCGCAGGAAGGCAGTTTGATCAGAGCAAGGCTCTGCTGTTTTGTAAGTTGCCTCCTCTGGTGTGCCCTTCACTGAGTGGTCTCATGCCTTGCAGAGAGGCTTGTCTTGGAGAATGTGTGGCATGGTGCCCGAAACACTGGGCACAGTGCAGTGCACACAGTGGGATGTAGGGAGAGTGCTGGATGAAGAGCGCCTGCCTCTGCTTCTTTCCTTTTCTGTGAAACGGGGATTTTATAGCACCTACCTCTGGAGTCCAGTGGCTTATAGGGCATTGCTACAGAAGGTGGTGTGTGGCCAGCTGCCACTCCAAGGTATCACCTTTTTGTATTCATCTCACATACTTGATTCTGTCAGATCATGTGTCACTTTTTCCTGTAGGCCATTCTAATCCTTATTGAAGCACTTGTATTTTAGAAACTGTTATGTATTTCATTTTCTCAAAAGCAGATGACAGGGGCTGAGGCTGTGGCTCAGTGGTAGAGCGCTCGCCTAACACGTGCAAGACACTGGGTTAGCACCATATAAAAATAAATATATATATGGTTAGCACCATATAAAAATAAATAAAAATAAAGGTATTGTGTCCAACTACAACTAAAAAAAAAAATTGAAAAAAAAAGCAGATGACAGTAAGTTGATGCCCTTGGGTATCATCCATACAATTGCAGTTATATATCCTTAAATATTTTGACAGCCCCATCTGTTCAAATACATTTATTAAACCCCTAGTCCATACTAAATAATTTACTTATAAAACATTTTTTTTTTACAGATGTGTGTGTGTGTGTGTGGGGGGGTGCTGGGGATTGAATCCAGGGCCTTGTGCATGTGAGGCAAGCACTCTACCAACTGAGCTATATCCCCAGCCCCAAAACACATTTTCCTAATGTTTATCCCCGTATTATTATAGTGTCTGGTTTTTATGCATTAGGAAAGCTGTTATTTCGGGAAAAAAAATTCAAACCTGTTATTCATAGTTAATAAAAATAGTCAACAATTAGGAAAAAGTCTTAGGAGAAAATAATTTGCATCCTCTTAACTTCTATCTAAAATCTGGATTTGTGTGAATTCTGGCACTACAGAAAAATGATTTTGCAGGTGAACATAGATATCAATGAATACCTTTCATTCTTGGCAGGTTGGGAATCCACGTGTTGAACTTACCCTCTCAGAGCTCCAAGATATGGCAGCTAGGCAACAGCAGCAAATTGAAAATCAGCAGCAAATGTTGGTTGCCAAGGTAAGTTACAAATACAGAGTTAAGGAAGCATTATTCAAAATGTGTGTGCCTCAACAGTCTTTCAGATTAGAATTCATCTACTTGGCACGGGTCACACTTGCCAGATGGGGCCCCCCCAGGCAAGTGTTAATACAGTGTCTTTTTCTCTGTGTGATCCCTTCTGTGTTAATGGATGCTCCTTAGCATTGTGATGGTGGGGAGGCATCCCAGCAAGAGTCCCTGACCCTTTCCATGCAGGCACTCTAAACAGGAGATAGTTGGCCCTTTTCAAATGAAGGACAGAATTTGGAAAGGATGCTTTCTGCTGTTACCTCTGCTTTCCTCTGGCATATTTTCTGCCTGGGGTTGGTGTTGGTATTGTAGAGGAGCCCCACAGTCTGTGCTGGAAGGTCTGGCTGGGCCCTGGAGGTAGACAGCTGGTGAAAGGCTGCCTGGTTTGCTGCTCTGTGCTGGACCTATCTGGTTGATGGCATGCGGACTTAGTCTGCTCACTGGGTTCTGCAGTTGTGATTGGGATTCTGTAAAGCTGGATTTGGAATTTTTCTAAATCATATTTTAGTCATACTTGATAGACTAAAAAAATCAGACCTGTTGCCCATGCCTCCTGGAACTGACTCATGTTGTAAATGGCCTTAAAATGCTCTGAAACTGCTCTAAGGAGAACCTTTAAACCTTACCAGCTAAGTTCTTATTGACTTCTTCTGTAGAGCGATTTACTTATTGCAGGGTGACCAGCACCCTACCAGGATAGGTTCCTGCTCAGGAGGTGTGAGCTGCCCAGGAAACAAAAAGTCTGAAATAATTAGTAAGAAATAGAGACAGAGCCAGAAATTGGTTATAAAAAGGGGAGCATCTGATAGGTCTTCCAGTCCTGGTTGGAGCTGGAACTGAACAACTGAAAAAGGGCTCAGATTCTTTATTTAAGGGGGAGTACATCAAAGGCAGGAACAAGGGTTCAGCCGGAGGAGTCTTGGTTGGTGCTTGCTTCTTGGTGTGGCAGGGGTCTTGCAGTAAACAGGTTGATTGGCATTTTAGCAAGCCAGACCCATCTCCAACAGGCAGTGTGGCTCCAGTGGGTCTCCTCCTCTCTGGTGCTGTGCTGAACTTGAGATGGAGCTGGGTAGGAAGCCACATGAACCAGGCATTCCTAAACCACTGGGGTTGCTGTTGGGAGTTCCTGATACCACCAGGCTTTCCTGCCTAATGGCTTCAACAGCACTTTAGTTCACATAAAATTCACAGATGGCCCCCAGGAAATGACCAATTCATTTTTTTCATGCATTGGATATACAGTTCATTGTATCTATCTACTTTTATGTAAATAACAATTTGTTGGATTTGTTTAAAACATTGTCTCATAAATTTTATTGGATTTATAAGAATAAAAACAATTAAAATTAGAAATTATTTCACCCTCTTGATAATTTCTAAGATGAAATATACATAGTATTATGTAATTATAAATTTTCTAATTCTTCATATTTCCTTTCAATATATTGATCCAAGAATATTGCTATTAAAAAACAGCAAAAAGAACAATAAATAGGCTAGGTGAGGTGACACATACCCGGAATTCTGGCTACTAGAGAGGCTGAAGCAGGAAGTTTGAGGACAGCCTGGGTCACTTAGCAGGACTCTGTCTCAAAATTTTAAAAATAATGGAAAGGATTGGGGTTGAGTATAGCTTAGTGATAAAGTGCCCCAATTTCCAGTACTGGGTAAAACAAAATCAACTTTATAGCCAGATGTATTATCACGTGCCTAAAATCCCAGCTACTCAGGAGGTTGAAGTAAGAGGATCACAAGTTCCAGGCCAGCCTGGGCAACTTAACAAGACCTTGTCTCAAAGTTAAAAAAAAATAATAAATAAAAAGGGCTGGATATATACCTCAGTGGCAGAGTACTTGCCTTGCATGTGTGATACCTTGGGTTCAACCCCAGCACCACAAGAAGTAATAATAATACATAAAATAAGGGCTGGGGTGTAGCTCAGTGATAGATAGCTTGGCTAGCACATGCGAGACCCTGGGTTAAATCCCGAGTACCACACACACACAAAAAATGTATAGATATATTTATTCAGTGATGCAGACCACAGTGAATTCCAGATCTTAAATACTCTAACCCTAACGTCTTTCCTTTCCTTTAGAAAGTGGTGTGTAATGCCTGCAAAATCTTACCTAAGCCTCTCTTTGTTTGCGTATATTTCATGCATACATGTGGGCATGAATATTTAATTTTGACTGTTATCCTTAAGGTATGTTTTCACATTAATAAGGGAAAAACTACTGAAAAGCATTACATATATTTTTTTATTTTAGAAGTATCCTTTTTAAAAATGTTTTATCATTAATACTTAAAAAAGCAAACACTTCCTTGATTGTTCAGTGTCACTGGAAATTGGAGGCTCATCTCCTGACTGATGGCCTTTTCTGTTTTCAAGTAAAATCCCTGCTGCCTACGCTCATTTCCTTTGGGAAGTTAAGGAGTGGTTGAAGTGTTGTAGCAGCAGAAAGCCTATACTCTGGTGGAAACAAGTTTGACAGAGACTTGACAGCTGTGGTGGGATGCAGAGGAGATTTGGCATTGGGCACATGCTCTCTGCAGTGAGCCTATCTGCACCTTCCATAGTGGCGCTGCTATCGACCAAGTGATGCAGAGCAGTGCACTTAGTCAGATCCTCTTGAAAATTCCCAGACTCATCTCACAATAATTTCAGGCTTTTGTGAACTACTCTGTACAAGATTCCTCTAGTGCTGGGTTTGGTGGCACCCATTTGTAATCCCAATGGCTCGGAAGGCTGAGGCAGGAAGATCGTGAGTTCAAAGCCAGCTTCAGCAATTTATCTACTCTGCGAAGACCCATTCTAACAAAATACAAAAGGGGGCCTGTGGATGTGGCTCAGTGGTTAAGTGCATCTTAAAGAAATTTTTTTAAAGATTTTTTTTAAAGAATTTTTTAAAAATTCTTTTAGTGTTTCTTAAACATTTGTTAAAGTAGGTATGGAATACACTCAGTTAAAAAGTATATACATGTAATTGTAAGTTTTAATTTGCAAAGTTAAGATTTTTTCCCTTCTTTGTCAGGAACAACGTTTACATTTTCTAAAGCAACAGGAACGCCGCCAGCAGCAGTCTATTTCTGAAAACGAAAAGCTTCAGAAACTGAAAGAACGAGTTGAAGCCCAGGAAAACAAGCTGAAGAAAATTCGTGCCATGAGAGGACAAGTTGATTATAGCAAAATCATGAACGGCAATCTGTGTAGGTTCCCGCGGCCCACTGTGTCCATACGCTCCAGGCCTAGATAAGTCAGAGGCTGGTTGCTGATGGTTCAGGCATGAATTCATGTGGAATTTTGCTATACCAAGTGCACTAAAGCTTTACTGTTTTCTACACCTAAGAAAACTGGGTTGGTTAGGTTAAGTGATTTTTTTTTTTTTTTAACTATGCATTCCCCCAGCCCACAAAGAAGTTCATATAAAACTAGTGAAATCCAAATTAGGTTGTATTTGAATTCATAATGTAGTGTTAACATCAATTTTCTGGATTTGGTTTTTTAAATATAATTTTAATTATACATATTTTGGGGATACAGTGAGATAATTTGATACAGGTATACATTGTGTATTGATCAAATCAAGGTAATTTCTTCTTTTAAAATTTTTATTAACAGTAGCAATTGTGCATATTCATGGGAACGGTCTATTTTAGTCCAACCCTGATGATGCAGTCACCTCTTGTACACTGGTGACTGGAGTCCTTTGGTTAGCCAGGGCTGCTCCAGGACTCACTCATTATGAGCATCTGTTGTCATGAAATGGCTGAAATTTTAAGCTTCACCATGTGGTTGCTGTTTTTTGTTTCTGTGTGGGCTCTGTGGTTTTTTCAGTGATTGCATACATTAGGTTACAGTGATTAGCAAGACCTTCACCAGGCCTTTGTTCTCTTGGTACCTGAGACTCCTGAGTAGTGTGGCCAAGCTAGCTTCTGAATCAGTTGCCTTCAGGAACATTCAGTAGTTACAGAGAAAACGGTTTGCTCTGTAAGTCATGTCATGTCACGTGTTCCAAAGACTTGCTGATGTGTGTTTTAGATGACGCAACACTTAATCCATGGTCTGGCACTAAATAATACCAGAGTTGAGTGCAGCATGTAGATATTAAAAAGACAGGATGTCAGTTAAATGAGTTTTTTTCTTTTTTGGTGGGCAATTATAGCTGCTGAAATAGAAAGGTTCAGCGCCATGTTCCAGGAAAAGAAGCAGGAAGTACAGACTGCAATTTTAAGAGTTGATCAGCTTAGTCAGCAATTGGAAGATTTAAAGAAAGGAAAACTGAATGGGTTCCAGTCTCATAACGGCAAGCTGACAGGACCAGCAGCGGTGGAATTGAAGAGACTTTACCAAGAACTACAGGTGATACACCTGGGTCTGGGGAATATTTATATAAAACTTTCTCCTCTTTCTGGCTTTCTCCGGAGTAGAGGATGGATATAACTTCAGCAAGGCCCTAAGCAACTTAGTGAGGTCCTGAATCAAAATAAAAATAAAAAGGGCTGAGGATGTAGTGCAGCAGTAGAGCACACCTGGGTTCAACTCCCAGAAACTGCCCCCCCCCAAAAAAAAAGTAAAAAGCAGGTGTGGTATAAATATATATATTTGGTTTCCAAAGAACTTCTTTAATAAGACATGTAGAGGACTCTAGAAACTTGCATTTTTAACAAGACTTTGATTAAAAGTAGGGTTTAGGGAAGAAATTTTAACCTTCATTTTGTGTCAGATTATATAATACAATAAAATTAAATTAAAAGTCATATACTTAAACAAAATCTTTTTGTACAAAGTAATAATAGATACCTAAATATAATCTGGTTTGTAAAATGAGGTAAAATGGAATCACGAGTGTATGGTTGTAGTCATAAGACACGAGTATTAAACCAAAAATCACACAGCAGTAAGGAACATTCACGGGTTAAATTCAACCACAAATGAATCCAAGTACCACTCCTCTAATTCCCACATTCCATCACATCAAAACCTACCAGGCTTTTGGTTCTGTCCTTGTCCACAGGCTCTGCATCTCATTGGATCCCTGGATTCTGCTCATTCTCTGTGTGACATACATACTTTGTGTGATAATATATCTCCGTAGAAATATATCACTGGCTGCTGCACTTTTTTTTGCAAGTGAACCCAGCACTTTTTTTTTTTTTTTTTACTTTGAGACAGGTTCCCACTGAGTTGCTGAGGTTCTAAGTTGCTTGGGCTTGCCTAGAACTTGGAATCCTGCCTCAGCCTCCCCAGTGATTTACAACTGATGACAGATGTACATCACTGTGCCTGGCTCTCTTCTTAGAAGGACACATAATCAACACATTGTTCGGGCTTGCCCTCTGACCTCCTCCAAACCTCATCACAACCCACAGGCCCCACCTCCAAACAGCATCACATTGAGGGCTTCAATGTATGAGGTTAGGAGGGCACCAACATTCAGTCCATAACCTCTAGATTTCTATTTCTCATAAGTTATCATTCAGGTGAATTTTCAAGCCGGAAACAAGTTTTGTGATTTTATTAGCACTTGCTAAGAAAAGTACTGTATCATTTCATGAAATGAAGGTGTTGAGAAATAAAATGACTCGTGCTTGCTGTTAAGTTCTTTAACATTCTTTTATGTTTGAAGCAATTGCTAAGCATGCAGACTTTTTAGGGTTTTGGTGAGGTATGATGATGTATGTGATTTACTCCTAAATGGAGCCCTAGGTGGTTGTCCCCAAGGCTCCAGGATGGTCTCCTAGAGTTCCTTTTGGCCCTAGTCCCTGTGTCTACTTTGAAGAGAACTTGTAGTTCCATGCATTTGGTCTCTTTTTGTTCCATAAGAACTCTGTTCTGGCGTTGCCTGTGCTGATTTACAGAACATGTAGCACATGGATGGCAGTACATTTGTCTAAACACATCCAAATTTAATTCTACTTTTTCTTTTTTCTTTCTTTTCTTTTTCTCCCTGCAGTGAGAATTTGACCTCTTCATTAATACAGGTCTTAAAAGTTGTTCTTTCTGTTTTGCAGATTCGTAACCAGCTTAATCAGGAACAGAATTCAAAACTCCAGCAGCAGAAGGAACTCTTAAATAAGCGCAACATGGAGGTGGCAATGATGGACAAGCGAATCAATGAATTGCGTGAACGTCTTTATGGCAAAAAAATCCAGGCATGTGAAAGAAAAAATGTCTGTGAGATAAACCTCAAAAAGTAGCTCATCTACAAATGCTAATCTCACTAAATGAACCATGCTCCCTCCCCTTACTTGCCACAGTTGATCAGACAAAACTGGCTATAAGCCCATGAGAGCAGAGCAGGTGCTGATAGCAAGGATGTCTTCCTAGAGTTCCCATACACATACTAAGTGATTGATGCTTTTGTGGTGTGGTGGCAGTGTCTTCTTGTCAGCCTCTGCTATACTGAAGGATGCTGTGGGGAGGCAGGCATGGATGTCAGGGCCTTCCCCGGGGGGATGGGTGTGGAAGATGGTAGAGGAAGAGGGGAGCTGCCATTCCACAGCAAAATCCATCTTTTACTTACGCATCTACCCTTCTTTCAACCCAAGCTTGAAAGTCAGTAGTTTGTGTAACTATGATTTCAGATGATAGTTTTCCTTTTTCTCTCTTACCAATAGCGCAGCCATAGGTGAGAGGATTCATGCATCTGCTCCACACTGAGTTACATGGCAGAACTTTAGTAATGGTGTGATGTTCAGGGTTTCTCAGAGAAGTAGAATCCATAGTGTGCGTGCGTGTGTGTGTGACTGTGTGCGTGTGTGTAGAGAGAGGGATTTATCTCCAGGAGTTGGTCACGTGAACATGGAGTCTAGCAATTCCAAAATCTGCATGGCAGGCCTGCAGCCTGCAGGCCCAGGGGGAGTTGGTGTTGCAGCTCACGTTCAAGGCAGTCTATTGTAGCACCCCCTTCTTCTGGGGGATCCTCAATCTTCTTTTAAGGCCTTCCACTGACTGGATGTGGTACACCTTCCCATGGAGAATCATCTACGTTACTCAGAGTGCATTGATATGAATGTTAATCTCCTCTAAAAACCGAAACTCTGATAACATCCAGACTCCTATTTAGCCAAGTCTCTGGGCACCGGGGCCAACCAAGTTAAAGCATAAAATTAACCATCAAAATGTCCTTATCTGGGCTGGGGTTGTGGTTCAGGGTAGAGTGCTCACCTAGCATGGGCAAGGTCCTGAGTTTGGTCCTCAGCACCATGTAAGAATAAGTAAATAAATAAAAGACATTGTGTCCATCTACAACTAAAAAATAAATATTTAAAAAACAAAACAACAACAAAAATGTCCTTATTCCTTTTATCTGCTGCTCCAGCGGATCTCTGAGAATCCAGTCAGTGCTTCTGCAGAGATGTGCCTCCCCCTGAAGGTCCTAAGTATTCTGAGCAGTTATGAGAGTCTTGAATCCTCTCACCATAGTGACACATGCAGACGGTTGTAGGAGGTTGTGGACCTCCACAGAAGGTGTACCTAGGGACCCTAAGGAATCGGGCCTTTTTGTTCTTGTACAGTATTTTGTAGCCAGTATCCTGTCTGTGTCCTTGCTTAGAAAGGCACAGCTGCCCTCAGAGAACCAGACTCACCATCAGGAGTCAGAGCCTCACCTGGGCACCTTGCCTCTTGTCCTAGGGCACCTCTCATTCTGAATTTATAGGCAGAGGCTCAGTCACTAGCCCAGGGCAGCACAGTAAGTGGGGAGCAGGATTTGAAACAATGCTTGGAGCACAGGCTTTGACAAGTGCCTCTGCTCACCCAGGGGAGAGAACGTGTCCCCAGGACGAGGGAGGTCATTATGGTCCTTGGAAGCTATGCTGTCATCACATTGGTCCCTGCTTTTGTAGCTCTCCAGGGTGGCTATTACTGGAAAGAATGACTCCCACACTTGGGGTCCAGTGAACTGAAGAATTAGTGTTTTTTTTGTTTTTTTTATTTTGCAGTATCTTAACTCTTCCATTTCCTCCTGATTTACAGTTGAACCGTGTGAATGGCACATCATCACCGCAGTCACCCCTGAGCACGTCTGGCAGGGTTGCCGCTGTGGGGCCTTACATCCAAGTTCCAAGTGCTGGAAGCTATCCTGTCCAGGGGGACCCTATAAAGCCCCAATCTCTCACTATTGCCTCAAGTGCTGCCCATGGGAGATCTAAATCTGGTGAGTGGCCCAGGCCCTCTCTTGGGGGAAGTGCTGGAGTAGGGTAAGGGCCCTGAAGCCCTGCCTCCACATCAGACCCCAGGCTGTCCCCTGAGGGGCTTGGTCTTCCGGACAGTGTTTGAGCAGTTAGTTGTGTGTCACTGTGATAATGATGCTCCCAAAACAAAAGTGAATTATTCTTATTCATCTGAGGTCTTCATTGACATTTCAAAACAAATGGTTGAATAAAACACTGCTTTGTGTGCCCTGAGGGCTCCAAGCACAGCTGTGGCCAGGTAGAGACCACTGCCCTTTAGACAGTATTTTAGCTTGTCTTTACTTTCCCTACTCAGCTAATAGGTCTTCCTTGATCAGAAAGTCCACAAGCCGTTACTCTCATCTTGGCACGGTAGTGCTGTATGATGAGCCCAGGCAGGCTTGTGTAGAGAGCACCATGCAGCATAGCTGGGCACCAGGTGGGTTCTGCATTGATAGTCTGTCTTTTAAACCCACCACATTAGGGGCTGGGGATGTGGCTCAAGCGGTAGCACGCTCGCCTGGCATGCGTGCGGCCCGGGTTCGATCCTCAGCACCACATACAAACAAAGATGTTGTGTCCACTGAAAACTAAAAAAATAAAATAAATATTTAAAAAAAAAAAAAAAAAAAAAAAAAAAAACCCACCACATTAAAAATTTGGAGCTTCTAGCCAGGCACCATGGTGCACACCTATAATTCTGGCAACTCAGGAGGGTAAGGTAGGAAGAATACATGTTCAGTACCAGCCTCAGCAACTCTATGAAACCCTGTCTCAAAATTAAAAGGGCTAGAAATGAACCACGTGATACATACCTTAATTTCAGCAGCTCAGAAGGCTGAGGCAGGAGGATCACAATTTCAAAGCCAGCCTCAGCAACTTAGGTCCAAAGCAACTTAGCGAGACCCTGTCTTTAAAATATAAAAAAGGGTCTGGAAATATAGCTCAGTGGTTAAGTGCCCCTGGGTTCAAACCCCAGTATTAGAAAAGGGTGGTGGTGGCTGGGGATGTAGCTAAGCAGTAGAACACTCTTGGCTCAGTCCCCAATACAAAAATAAGAGAAAGAAGTTGGGGCTCTTTTAAAGTAGAACTTTCTTTATGACTCGGGTTGACTCGTCTTCCTCTAACACAACGTCAGGAGGTCAAGTCCTGACACACTGGGACATCTCTTCATTTATGAAAGCAGTGCTGCTGCTTGTTTGCTGTTGTGTCCTATTTTCAGAATTGGTGACTGATATGTGCTGGTCTTTTGTTTGTGACACTTGCTCCTACCTGGCACCTAGTAGGTACAGTGATATATCTGCTGCTCCCACTGGGAGGCTCAGGGCTCCATCTGAACCAGCAAGTCCTTGGGCGCCACAGCCCCTGCTCAGATCCCTCCGAGGCCCTGATCACAGTGGTGTTCTTTGATGAGCTGTTGCTTATGGTTTGAGCCACCCTGTCTGTGGGAGGAGTGGCTGTCTGTGTCAGTGCAGGTAATGAGCACAGCCAGCTCCTTCCAGCTGAGAAAGGCTCCTGTGCCCTCCCCTCTCTGTGTTGTGCTGCCTTACCAGCTTGCTGAAAGAAGATGGCCTTACAGATCCCTGGCCTCAGTCCTTCCACTGTGGTGTAAAGCGACTGGACCCAGGAAACCTGAGTCCACCCAAGCTGGGGGCAGAACTTCACACATGGAGCTGGGACATGAAATCTCCGTGTGGGGACTCTAACCCCTTGCTGTTGGCTGTCCTGGTTCTGTGTCACACAGATGGCCACAGTAGATCCAGAGTGACCAGCGCGTGGACAGTGTCAGACCTGGACGTCAGGCTTGACTGCAGCTCCTTGGGGCACTCTGCAAGCCCACTCGTAAAGCGTATGTGGGCTGACGGGCTTAGCGGGGTGCTTTTGATCTCCTTTCACACAGACTGAATCAACAATCATTTGTTTTTCCAAACTGACAACGGGCACGACTGTGGGTCAGGCTGGCTCCATGTTCATCACATCTGGACATGGAAACAGCACTGTGCAAATAGGTGTCTCTTCCCAGGCAGGTGTGGAGTTAGGCCCCAGGCCCAATCAACGGCCGGGAGAGTTGAACACCAAGTTATAGGCCCTGCCACACAGGGTTTTGGTTATGGGGAGTGTTTGTTTGCTTCCTTTTCAAAAGTTAATATGAGGACAGGGGATATCACTGAGTTGGTAGAGTGTGCACAAGGCCCTGGGTTCAATCCCCAGCACCACCCCCCAAAAAAATGAGTTAATATGATTTTGAGTTCATGATGAGTCTTTCAGTTTTATGTTCAGTGCAAGAATCTCCCATCACAATGAAAAGTATTACAGTAATAAGAAGCAGCATCTGGCCTTTTGTGCCTCCAGCTCTGTCCTCAGGAAAGGAGATTACTTCATAATTTCATAAAAACTTCCATTGCTGTGGGCTTTCAGAAGCCACTGAACGTCCACGTGCCCTCTGACCCTGAAAGGATAGAAATCCAGGTCCCTTGGCTGGCACCTGCCCCTTCTGCTTGTCTCACAGGGTCTCAAGTGGGCTCTGCTTTTCCCCGCCAGCACAGAATGCTCCTCTCAGAGGACACTGAGAGGATGGAGGCACATGCATGTGTGGTCTACAGGAGGCTGACAGCTTGTGCTGGCCCAGATGCTGGCTGGGGTCTGGTGGCTTGGCTGGTGCCCTCAGCCCTGTAGGAATCATTCAGCAGCACCACTGTGGGTCAGGCTGGCTCCAGAGCAGCCTGTGCGTGGCTTGCTGCACTCAGACTGTGCCAGAGCACATTTGGGAAGCTTACTCTTCATGTTTTGGCTCATTTTGGGCATGAAGACAAATGGTTGCCCTGTGCTTCTTAGTTACCCCTCCTACTTATGCTGATTTCTGCCCATCCCAAACTGCTGGTGGCTAGAGCAGTCTCCGCGTCAGAGCAGCTCAGCACCTTGCCTGTTGAAGCAAAGCAGGTGCCCACTCAGGGTACACATCTGTGATCCATAGATGCCATGACACACAGGTCATATGGTGTGTGGCCCCACATGACTAGGGAGCACCTCTGCACCCTTTTTCAGTTTGGAAAATGCACTATAAAAACATAAATCTTTTCAGTGGCTTTCCTGGAAACTTGGGGATGATGACGGCTTTCTAATCACTGCAGCACATCAGTGGGAACTGTGCTGGCCTCTTGTGATTGCAAATTATTTTAGCAGAAAAGACTTCCTCACTAAAGGAGAAACTTGATTAGTCATGCTAGTAGTACAGGTCAAACCTGTTAGGAAATCAAAAGATAAATCTTTAAGAATTAAAAAAAAGATCCCTTTTTTATTGCTGAATGCAATTGTATTTATAAACAGTGTTCAAAAGCTAAGTGCTGGTGCTTGCTTTATTCTGTAGGTTTAATGGACTTGACCTGTACTACAGTGGGTGTAGCCTGTCCTATACCAACCTTAGCGTGGTCTTTGAGTTGCTGGCCTTGCTGGCCACACTGGCCAGGAGTTACCCACAGAGGATGCCCCTGGGCTTGTTCACAGGACTGTGGGGGTCTGTGCAGATCAATAGCTCCATGTGCCAGATGGTGGTTGTCCACTTGGTTAACAGAGCTCCCTCAGAATGTGAAGTCCCAGTGCTATTTTTATTTCTGGCAGGGTGTACTTTTGGGTTGGTTCAACTGATATCAAGAAAAATTTCACTTAAATTCTGTGCTCTTTTCAAGCTAATGATGGAAGCTGGCCAACATTAAAGCAGAATTCTGGCTCTTCGATGAAGCCGGCGCAGATGGCCACTGTGGATTGGAAGGACCCAGGCGTGGAGGGGGCTCTAAAGCAGGGTGCGATCTCAAGCCAGCCTCTGCCCTTGTCTGCACTGGGAGCCACAGAGAAGATGGTAGGCCATCTGTACTAGGAGTTTAAGGACCAGCCCCTTCTGCCTTAGTCATACTCAGGATTTGAGGCAAATTAATCCACATTACCCCCAGAATCCTAGAGTCACTGCACCTTTAGGGCCTGTGCAGACAGAACACAAGTGCACATGACTTTTGCCTCAGTTTTGCAAATGATGAGCCCAACAGTGTTCCCTGTGTCATAATCACAAGCTGATTTGAAGGATTGCAGATCCTACTGTGTATTCTTTTGCAAGTATGGGTATAAATGTGCTTCACTTTTCAAAGGGTGACTCTGTTTTTCTTCTCAACACCTAAATTTAGGGTGTGGATATTGGTAAAGGACCACCTCCCATCCCTGGTGCAGGCAAGCCGCTGCCTCCAAGCTATGGAACATACCCAAGTCCTGCACCCCTGGGCCCAGGATCAGCAAGTTCCCTGGAGAGGAGGAAAGAAGGCAGCTCACCCAGACCCAGTGCAGGCCCACCCAGCCGGCCGAAGCCTGCCCCGCTGCCCCCTACAGCCAGTGTCCCACAGCCAGGCTCCTCGCAGCAGATCCAGCAGAGGATTTCTGTGCCTCCAAGTCCCACATACCCGCCAGCAGGGCCCCCTGCATTTCCAGCTGGAGATGGTAAACCCGAACTCCCACTGACGGTGGCCATTAGGCCCTTCCTGGCTGATAAAGGATCAAGGCCACAATCTCCCAGGAAAGGACCCCAGACCGTGAATTCAAGTTCCATATACTCTGTGTACCTCCAACAAGCCACACCACCTAAGAATTACCAACCAGCAGTGCACGGCACCTTAAACAAGTCAGTTAAAGCAGGTATGGTGAGTTTATCCCCTCCTTGGGGGGCTAGGAAGTTATACTCTAATTAAGAAAGTACAGACTGACATTGGAGCCACTTGCTGTTTAGGTTAAAGCAAAAGCTTACATTTCTTACATACATCTCTCCGTGGGTTTCGGGTGGATGAGTGGGCACTTTGCTGCTCTGACTACCTTTCTGACCACCCTCCCACACTACGTGAAAATCCAGCTTCTAGAAGGGTGAGATTCTAGGAATTTTGTTTTTCCTCCTGCTTTATGGAAACTTGTGCTAGAAGCTATCTGGTGAGCAGAGGCCAGGGGTAAGCCTTGACCAATGCCTTCTGGGCTTCCTCTCTGTGACTAAGCCAGACCTGGGAGTGGGTGAGTTGAGGAGGGTGTTACTTCTTTGGAGTCCCCCCAGCCCATGGGGGAGAAAAGCTGTGGGGATGGGTGAGGCCCTTCTAGGAAAGCAAATGAAAGAATGTAGTTCAGTGCCATACACCCTGAGCTGATAGTGCCTCTGACCCTCGCAAGAGGGTCCTTTGGGTCAGATCTGGGTTGGGCTGCCTCAGGTGTTCTCAGGCTCTGACTGCAGTGTGCAGACTTATAGTTCTTGGGTTCCCAGGTGTGCCCAGGACCTCCCAGGTGACATACAGTGTTACCAGTGGGCAGGATTCTGGCTCCTGGGGAAGCTCCTAGGCTGCCAGGTCCCACCTTCCTGCTCCCGGAGCCAGTGTCCTCATGTTGTCTTGTCTAAGGCTCACACATGAGTGTAGCAACTTTATTCTTTCCCTTGCCTTGTTGAAGGCAGTGAGTCAGATCAGCAACCTTTTTTGCCTTTGAAAAAACCCACTTCTAGGAACCTCAATATAAAAGCCACTACACTGGAGAGAGATTCACCTTGCAGAAGGAGCCAGAGGAGGTTCTTGTAAGAGAAGATTTCCACGGGGTTTAAAATCAGAATCCTCAACAGCAGTAGGAACCCATCTCTGACAGAGTAGGTGCTTAGGGACTAGCCCCAAGACCCAGCAGCCAAGTTGAAATTGTGCCCTATCCTCTCTCTTCCAGTGTATGGCAAGCCTGTCCTACCATCCGGGTCAACATCTCCATCGCCCTTACCCTTTCTTCATGGGTCACTGGGCATAAGCACCTCACAGCCTCAGCCATCTTCAGAATGTGCTGAGAAAGAGCCAGAGCAGGAGGGCCCTGCTGCACCTGGAGAGGGAAGCTCAGTGGAGAGCCTGCCGCGGCCACTCAGCCCCACCAAGCTCACACCCATCGTGCACTCACCGCTGCGCTACCAGAGTGATGCGGACCTGGAGGCCCTGCGCAGGAAGCTGGCCAATGCACCCCGGCCCCTGAAGAAGCGCAGCTCCATCACAGAGCCAGAGGGCCCCAGTGGACCCAACATCCAAAAGCTGCTGTACCAGCGCTTCAACACCCTGGCTGGTGGCATGGAGGGCACCCCTTTCTACCAGCCCAGCCCCTCACAGGACTTTGTGGGCACCTTGGCTGACGTGGACAATGGAAACACCAACACCAATGGCAACCTGGATGAGTCTACTTCTGCCCAGCCCACAGCCCCACTCCCTGAGGAGCCTGCCCCATCCTCAGATGCCAATGATAATGAGCTACCTTCCCCTGAACCTGAGGAACTCATCCATCCCCAAACCACCCACCAAACTGCTGAGCCCGCAGAGGATAACAACAACAATGTGGCCCCAGTCCCCTCCACAGAACAGATCCCAAGCCCTGTGGCTGAAGCCCCATCTCCGGGAGAAGAACAAGTCCCTCCAGCACCTCTTCCCCCTGCCGTCCACCCACTGGCAGCCTCAGTGGTGGGTGTCCTTGTGAGACGAACACAGGACTCCCCTCAGCACTCACCTTATTAGGGGTCAGGCGTGTCCCTGCCACCCACAATTAGGTCTGAGAGGGCTGTCGGGGTAAGGAGAGACCAAGGGGCCCAAAGAAGGGGTGCACAGTGCTCCTTGGAGGCTGCCTTTGGGACCTGGGAAATGGGCAGAAGGAGGGAAGAACCTTCTGGACAGAGGCCCCTGGGTGAGTCAATTTTGGTGGACCAGAGAGCAGCTGGGTGTCCTCTCAGGATCCAGTAGTCCTTTCACCTGCAATCTCAGTGCTACTGCTGACAGCCATGTTAGGTGTCCCTAAGGATGAGCTGCCAGCTCCCTGGGAGCTGCATCTGCCTAGCAGTTGGCTGTGATAGACCCCATTCCTTCCCACAGGGTCTTCCAAAAAAGTAGGCTAACAACTCACACCAGCCATTGCCCTCTATGAGAATAGCCAGGAGCTCAGGCCCATGCCACTGCCCTCCTCAGGTAGCCCCTGGGCTCTCTTGGAGAGCCACTGCTTTAGGGTTTAGTTCCTGCTGTTCCTTCCTATGGGTTTAGGTCTTGGACTAGCCCTCACTTCATAGGTCAGCTGGACATTGAAAGCATGCTTCCTTTCCACAGAGCAAGCGGACCAACCTGAAGAAGCCCAACTCCGAGCGGACAGGGCATGGGCTGAGAGTACGCTTCAACCCCCTGGCACTGCTGCTAGATGCTTCTCTGGAAGGAGAGTTTGATCTGGTGCAGAGGATAATCTATGAGGTGAGCCATACCCACCCCATGGGTGCTGCAGGGGATGGAGGACTGGCTCTAATGTGTCCCATGTCCTTGTCCTAGGTGGAGGACCCCAGCAAGCCCAATGATGAAGGGATCACCCCACTACACAACGCGGTCTGTGCCGGTCACCATCATATTGTGAAGTTCCTGCTGGACTTCGGGGTCAATGTGAATGCTGCTGATAGTGACGGATGGTGAGGGCCCCCAACGGGTTAGGTTGAGGCTCACTTTCTCCTATCTTACAAAAGGAAAAAGCGCATGGTCAAGAAAATTGGGGGGGCTGGGGATGTGGCTCAAGCGGTAGCGCGCTCGCCTGGCATGCGTGGGGTGCTGGGGGCGCTGGGTTCGATCCTCAGCACCACATAAAAAAATAAAGATGTTGTGTCCACTGAAAACCAAAAATAAATATTAAAAAAAAATAATTAAAAAAAAAGAAAATTGGGAAGTATGGCAAGAATACCCATCAGTTCATTCCCCGAAAGACAGCTGTTGCCAGCATTTTGTTGCATATCTTTCTCCTAATTATTCACTCTTCCTTTATTCAGACATTTTGTATGAAATACGAATTCACATGTATGAATATGTGAACAGTAAATCCAGAAAGCCCCCTTTGTTGTTGGTTTAGGTGTATGTGTTCTTGTTTCCATTTGCCTTCAGGATCAGGACTCGGCTGCTGTGCAGGGCAGGGCCTGTGGTCTCACTGCGGGTATTTTGAACTTATAGCTTTCACTGTGCTGTTTATCTTTTTAAAAAAAAAAAAAATTATTATAAAATACACATAAGATTTGCCATCTTAGCCGTTTGTAAAGGTCCACTCAGCATGTTAAGTGCATTGACATTTCTGTGCAGTGAGCATATTTATAAGCCATTCCTTAAACTGTTCTCTGCCTGTCCCCTTCTCAAAAACTGATATGTGGCCAGGCATGGTGGCACACTCCTATAATCCCAACAGCTTGGGAGGCTGAAGCAGGAGGATCGTGAATTCAAAGCCAACCTCAACAGCAGCGAGGCACTAAGCAATTCAATGTGACTCTGTCTCTAAATAAAATACAAAAAAGGGCTGGGGATGGGGGTCAACGGTTAAGTGCCCCTGAGTTCAATCCCTGGTACCAAAAAAAAAAAAAAAGAAAAAAATCAAAAAATAAAATTGATATATGGTCCACAATCCATCAGTGGAGGTCAGATCTTTAAAAACACATGGAGAAACTTGCCCAGTATGAAGGCATGGCACCTTTGTAAGGATTCCTTTGAGGGTCGCATCACACAGGAGCCAGGTAGCCCTGGACAGCACCAGACCCACACCCTCGCCCCTCTGGTTCTAGGACACCACTACACTGCGCAGCCTCTTGCAACAGCGTGCACCTCTGCAAGCAGCTGGTGGAGAGTGGAGCTGCCATCTTTGCCTCAACCATCAGTGACATCGAGACTGCTGCAGACAAGTGTGAGGAGATGGAGGAAGGCTACATCCAGTGTTCCCAGTTTCTGTATGGTATGTAGGGTGTCTGGTGCATCTTGGCTTCTTCACCCGGGCAGGGCAGCATCGTGTGCAGAGGTGCTGCCACAGTAATCCCAATGGCCAGAGAGTGTGCTTGAGTGCTCCTGGTCTTTGAAACTGGGTACGCTGCCCACTCACTCCTGCAAACACATTTGAATATCCACATTGTCAGAGGGATTCTGTGCTCTTGCTAAAAAGTAAAAGTGACCTCACTGTGCTTTGCACAGAGGTTCCCCTTGGGGCACAGGGGCTGGGTGTGTGGATGGCTGGGCAACACTCATCTGTTCACTGGCTGCTGTGACACACCAGCACTTGCAGTGGGGCCACTCCATCCCTGTGCTGGCCTGAGGTTGGCCACTTATCCCCTGAACCATTTGATGGGTGAAGCTCTTCCCCTGATCAAGCTGTTGTAGCCAGTGGGGTCAGGTTTCCCCAGAGCTTGGATGTTTTCTCTGTTCCAAGGGTTAGGCAGTCACAGGCATTCATTCTATATATGCCAAGCCCTGTGGTAGGCCCTGGGAGAGTGACATAGAGCCGGCCGACAGGTTCCTACAGTGTTGTGGGACTCAGCAAGCACAGAGGCTGCCATCACAGCAGCACTTACTGAGGGAAGATGGCTCCCCAGTGTGACTCTGCTGCCTCTAGAAATGAAATGTCCCACAGAAGACCCTTTCTCGGGGCACTCCATGTAGTGCTTGGCCATGCATTCACTCTGCAGCCACGGCACAGGGTCGTGAGCAGTTGCTGCTGCTTAGCCACCAACTTCTGAAAGTTTGTTCTAAGTTTTATCTTAAAAAATGCCCTTTAGAACAACGTACCTCTACCTCTGGAACCAGCATTTCAGTAGAACTTCATATCCAGGAGTTCCACATCTGGCTTCAACCTATACCATGGATCGAAATCTGAAAAGCCAGGCATGGCGGCACATGTTTGTAATCCCAGCAGCTCAGGAGACTGAGACAGGAAGATAGCAACTTAGCAAGGTCCTATCTCAACATTTTAAAATAAAAAGGACTGGGGAAGTAGTTCAGTGACAAAGTGCTCCTGGGTTTAGTCCCCAGTATAAAAAAAGAGAAAGAAAATATCTGAAAAACAGTGACATCTGCACTGAATGTATAGATTCCCTTTCCTTGTCATTATTCTCTAAACCCACTTACCTTGCCTCAGGTATAGTGAGTAATCTAGAGATGATGTACACAAGGACACATGTAGGTTATATGTGGACACCACTGCCATTTTGGCAAGAAGGACTCGAGCACCTGAGGATCTCTGTATCTGCAGGGTTTCTGGAACCACACCTCATGGACACAGAGGGACAAGTGTACTATCTTGCAGGGATGGAGAGAGGGTTGTGTGCAGTAAGCTGAAGGGCTCAGCTAGGCCTGGGAAGTGTCAGGTGGAATGACCCTGTTTCTAACCTCACTGGCCTGCAGCCCATGTGAGCCACCTTGAGCAGCAGAGTGTCGCCTTGTTCCTTGGTGGGCTGCTTTCTCTGGACTGCCCTTGCTGAGGCCTTACTATGGCTTTCTGGTCCCAGGGGTACAGGAGAAGCTGGGAGTGATGAACAAAGGTGCAGTCTACGCCCTGTGGGACTACGAGGCCCAGAACAGCGACGAGCTGTCCTTCCACGAAGGCGATGCCATCACCATCCTGAGGCGCAAGGACGAAAGCGAGACGGACTGGTGGTGGGCTCGGCTCGGGGACCGGGAGGGCTATGTGCCCAAAAACCTGCTGGGGGTAAGCACGTGGTATGCTAGAAGGTTATGTTGGAAAGTCAGCTGGTTTTGTGTACTTGGCCAAAGTCACAGGATCCCCCTCCTGGCCTGGGTTCTGGTTCTATTGGGGACCAGGGCAGGGGGCACCTTTCTTAAAGCCTCAGCAGCCTGCTCTGCACATGGGCAAGCCCCTGCTCTGCAGAGTTGAGGTGCTGGGATTCAGGCAGAGCTCTTGGAGGTGACTGGCCTGCACCCACCCCTGGAGCAGCTGGGCCATGTGGAGGCCAGGAGCACTGGCCAGCTGCTGCCCAGTGTGCTCTGCTCATGGCACACTTTGGCAAGCAGCTAGGCCACCCACCTAGACCTTCCCCATCTTGACAGGTGGCGGGCTGGGGCAGATTCTGTAGGTTGCCAGCTGTCTCCTTCATGGCAGAGGGCCACCCTGCTTGCTTCTCCCATGTGCTGCGACAGAACTGTCAGGTGTTCCTCATCCACTGGCAGATGCCTGCCCTGAGGGAGCTTATGCTGTCAACGGCCTAGTGGACAGTGATGCATTTTAGGGTGGCATGAAGTGCTGCCAGAAAGATAGGAACAGATCACTCTGGGGTGGGATCCTTTGAAATAGTAGTTTGGGAGAGTCTCAGAGGAGAGGGGTAGCTGTGTTTGGGCCAAGGAGGACAAGCCTTCCGGGGGCATGCAGAGGCAGATGTGAAAGGCCCCTGGAGGCCAGTTCCTGGTCACCCCAGCCGTGTCCATTTCTTCCCAGTTGTATCCACGGATCAAGCCCCGGCAGCGAACACTTGCCTAAGCTTCCCCCTGGAGCACCACAGTCTTGCTGGCTCCCAGGAGCTGCTGGAGAGGATCAGCTGTCCGGGGAAAGCTGACGCTAGGATGGCCTCATGGTGCTCACTTTAGCAGACACCACCCATAATGTGAATTCCTGCACTTCCCAGGTGAGGCCTTCTCCAGTCCACCGCAGATGGGAGAGGTACTTTTGCTTCCAAGAGGACCGAGTTTTGCCAATTACTGTAAATCCAAATAAACACCCAACTTTCAGAACTCCCACCCCTGTTGCCAATAAGAAGCCCTGTAATTATTAGGACCCCTGTTGGTTGCCAGTGAAGATTGAGCTCTGACCTGGCCCTGAGGCCACCTCTTGTACCCCCACCGTGAAACCAAGCTGCTGCCAGATGCCCCCACTGCAGCCCACCCTTCCTTACCTCCCCACAGTTGTTCCTTTTACTACCAAAGGAGCCGCTGTGGGCATACTGTCCTGTGGTTGCCCCTGGGGATATCCCCAGGGGTCTTTCTGCACAGATGAGTGGAGTGTCCAGCTTCTTGCTGGCCCTGTGCTGGGGCTGGACTTCCATTTCTGGGCACACATGGTTCGGATTCCTACAGCCTCTGGCTGCACACCTTGAATCTGTTTTTGTTCTGAGTATAGTCAGACACAAGTCTGGGCAAGGACAGGTCAAGGCCTCTGAGGCAGCAGCAGCAGCAGGGCAGGGACCAGTCCAGACAAAGCCAGCTGGAAGGCAGCAGTGCTGGCCCTGATCCCTGGTTCCACACAAGGCAGACCCTGAACTGGAACCTGAATTGTGTGGACAGGCTTTTTATACACCAAGATTATTTTTCAGCTAGACCATTCAAAACTACCAGAACTATGTTGGAAATGTTCTTTCTCATTAACACACAGGCCCTTAGGCTTTATTTTCCATGTGCATCTTGTGTATGATCTCTGTGTAAATATGTGTATGGACTCAGAGGCAGAGCTGCAGTTGATGGCTGACTGCACAGGGTGTGGCACTGAGTGACACCACTGGGAGCAGCTCTGCTGTCCCCGACACTGCTGACGCTGTGTAAATGTGCACAATAAACTGCTGTCTCACACCCAGCTGTGTCTTGTGTTCTGGAGGCAGGATTGAGCTAAGCCACACACTCAGGTTAGAGGGACACAGTAAGACCAGAGCCTGCTCTGTACTTCCAAAATAGGTTTTAATCATATGCTTTATATACAGATTGCTGTACAGTCATTTTAATAAGATGAAAGAGTAAGTGAAAAGTAGAAAACAAGGCTGATGCTGTCTGCTTTATGAAGTATCAAAGGATTGTTCATTGCCCCAAATTAGTGACAAGGTCAATGGAGAGTCTATAAACAGGCTAAGGCAACATTGTAAATTGGCTACTGGAAACGGACAGGCTCCAGTGCAAACTAGAGGCCACTTTGTTTCTGTGGGAGAACTAGTGAAGTGAGCACTGATGGGCCTGGACACGTCATACAGGTTATGCTAAAATTAGCTCAGCAGTAATAGCTCAGCCTCCAAGACTCTGACGCGCAGCTGTGTGAAGCATTAAATGAGCTGCGTGCATACGGCACTAGGTAAGTGAACACTTTGCTGCTCTAAATAGGTGGATTGTATTTCTCAACATAGCAGGGTGAAGCCCTGTGGTGCCTGGCCAGGGGCAAGTGGCTTAGCCCTGGTGACAGTTGCACTCCTTCAGCTCACGGTCACTGGTCCCGAGATTCATAGAGGAGCTTGGCGGCCTGCAGGGTGATCAAAAATAAACACCAGAAAGCACACCCAGCCCCGCACCCAGCTGCGCCAAGCCCTGTGTCTTCCAAAGGCACTGCTTTGGCAGGTCCTTCTCTGGGAAAAGCCGGCTCTCCTCTGAGCCCGTAAGCCATCCGCCCACACCCATGGTACCTTATGCATGGCTACCAGCCATGCTGTTGCCTGCCTCCTGCTGGTATTTGCATCCTCCCCTGCGGTCAGCTTCAGCTGGGCCTCGCCCTCTGTACCTGGCACCGTGTACTGCAGGAACATGCCTGTGGCCCGTGCATTACCTCCTGGAAGAAGGGGACGATGTGAGGTGGCCAAAAGGGGCCCTGATGAAATGGTGGCCAGTGCTGACCCACCCTGTGCTACTCAGGAAGCAGGCCTGTTGGGACCATGCGGTGATGAGAGCCCCTGTCTCTGTGGAGAACACAAGTTCAACCTGGTCTGGTGCCTCCAGGGACAAACTCGTGGAGCTGCATCACCAAGAAAACTGTTCTTGGAAAATCCAGAAACTGCTGCACCTCCTGAGTCCCATGGAGCCCGTTCCTGCCTCCAGAGAACTCCCAGATAATACCTGTCCACAGCCAGGGCTGCAGGAGTGCTGAAGCCATTTCAAGAGCACTGGTCATCAGACAGGCCAACTGGACAGTCACTTCATAGCTGGTTTCATACCTAGAGGTCAGAGGCTACAGCCATCCTCTAGTGAGACCAGGACCTCAGCTGAGCAGACCGTTGATGTCAGAGACACGCCACACCATCCTATCACGTGCTGCTCCCTCAGACCTGATGGGAGGCCATCAAGGTCTGGTTTGGGAGCTGGGTGGCAAAGACCCAGTCTCCCGTTCCTGGGCTGTGATCAGCTGCCCCAGACACTGTGACTTGACTCTAGCACCTGCTCAACAAACAAAGCACTGGAGAAAGGACCACAGGTCTCACAGGGCCCCTGTGCAGCTGCACCTGTAGCCTTCTACCTGGTGACAGGAGGAAGCCCCACATTCACGATGAGTCACCATGGAGATCAGTCACAGCTGATTCCCACTGGTTAGCAGGTGAGTGCACTGACTGTAAGGCCGGTGGTCTTTAGGAAGGGGCCTGACCAACACAAGAGCACCGTGTCCACTGCAGAACTGTGTCCAGAGCTTCCTGAGCTGCTCCTGCACAAGCCCAGGGCTCCTGCCGAAGATCTCAGGTTGAGCTGCCCCCCCGAGACTTCGCAGCAGGCAGACCTTGGCTCTGCCCACCACCTGTAAATACTGGAACATGGCCATGGGCCCCTGTTGTCTATGAGGTTTTTGCCCTTTGACCAGAAAACCCTTCCTTTCTGGCTCTCAAAAGAACAAGTGTCATGCTGCTCTAATAGCCCAGGCTGCTGGGCAGCTCCTCAGGCTGCTGCAGCTCAAGAAGTGGTTCACACTATCCCTACTCCCACCCTCCACAGGAAGAAGGGTTATGGGACTTTAAGGAAGGGATCTAAGAAAATGCTGGGCAGTACAGGGGTCACTACTCCCAAAACCTTCTGAGGACATGTGGTGCCAGTAGTCCTATGACCTGCCCAGCAGAAAGTCTACCTACACTCACAGGATCTGAGGAAGGTCTACCTACACTCACAGGACCTGCCAGAGGCCATCCCTGTCCTGGCCACCTTCCCCATGGCCTTGGGAGGGGTTGTGGTGAATTGTATTCCTGGCCTTGGGCTCCCTAGGTGAAGGCAGGCAGCAGGGTCATGGGGGCTGACCCTAGCTTATCCAAGTACTGCCCTTGGCACCAGGGTTTCTTCAGCCAGCTCGCTGCCTCATGTGTGTCCCTACATTCAGGGAACACAGGTAGAACAGCATAGGCCTGATATACTCAGTGCTGCTTCAGGGGCTGAGACAAAGGTGCTAAGAGCCAGAAAGTCACAGTGGGCACAGCTAGCCAGGCCACAGGGTGGCAAGCTGCTGCCCTCTCCACAGGCCCAGTGCCTCTGGGCTTCCTCAGCTGCTCAGGGCTGGCAGACACTGACAAAAAGCCAGCAACTATGTGGTAATGCTTCTTCCCTGAAATAGAAGAACTAAGCAAATATATTTTCTTCTGGGACATTTTCATTTATACTCTGTAGACCCATGTACTGGGCCCACTGTTTAACACAAATCAGCCAAAAGAAGTGAGTTTTACAAGGAACCTTGGCATGAACCATCCACCCTAGACAGAAGCAAAGTGGCCAGAGGAGAAACAGGGCCCACTGCATGCTGGAGGGAGTGGCCAACAGAAAACGAGGCTGACCTTTGGAGGCGGGCTGGCTCTCCAGGACGCTGTAAGTGTGTGTGTCTTTTTCTACGTCAAGAAGGTAGGCAGGCAGTGGAGAGAAGAACAATCAAGAGCCACTCAGAAAACGGAGAGCAAGAGGTTAGGTCAGGTGGTTTCTTCAACACCATCTTCAGGTTTGGAATAGGGACACATGCAGGTCAACCACCTCAGGAGGAGGCAGTGGGAGCATGCGAGTGCCACTTTTCTGCCAGCCGCCACTCCACCAGTTACAGCACTAGGAGCACTGTCCAATAGTGAGTGGGGCGATCTACACAGTGGGACACCATTGAGACAGGCATGCAGAGCTTCCTCCTTTATCTTAAGGTTTTAAGTCCCTGCTCACCTGGCACATTCTAAATCCACTGACTGAAGACAAGCCTCACAGAAGAGAAAGGCAGGCCTCTTGGGCCCAAATGCTCATGCCTGCTGTCCCCCTCATGTGACCATACCCTCCTGCTCAGGAAGGCCACCAAGCACATACCTCCAGGAGCAAAGCCTTCCGTGAGAACCTGCACAGTGGAGATGTGTGCGACCTCAATTTCACAATGGCTGTCCCCGTCCAGAATCAAGCATCTACCCAAACAAAAGGGTTCCAACTACATGACTGAGGCCCACAACATGTGACAGCACCATCCAGCACCAAGTGGGGTTCTGGCTCTTACCTCTGGTTGTTGGAAAGACGACAAACCATGGTTTCAGATTTTTCTGAGTTTCCAAAAGTCACAGTGAAGGTGGCTCCTTGGGAGACAAAAACCAAATGAGCAAATTCCATGTGCTGCTTCCACTTGCCCTCCCCAGGCTGCACACGCTCACCCTCGCCTCCCACAGAGACAAGCGGAGGCAGGGTAAGCCCCATGGAGCAAAAGGCAGCAGTGAGTGGAGGCCAAGAAATCAAACAGGGAATCGGTCTTGCTGCCTGTAGAGCACCTGGGACTTTTTTTTTTTTTTAAACATCCTTTAAGGAAAGGACACAAGGCCCAGGCCAGAGCAGCAGTAGGCCTGTGGCCAGGCGGACTGCTCATGCCCCAGAGGCTCTGAGGCAGACACGGCCCCTGGGGTTCTCCCACCTCATCCCAGGACAGCCTCAGAGCCAGGGCTGCACCTGCTGAGGCTGCTGTCTCTGGACCACTTCTCTGAGGGCCACAGTCACAAATGACAGCCACCTGAAGGCTATGCCCAGGGAAGTCAGAACCACACTGTAGACATTTCCACCTCTAAAGATCAGAGCAGGTTCTAGGACTGCTCCTAAACGAATCCAGAGGGCGAGACAGAGGTGGAGTGAGGGGCGCCTGCCCGCTGTGCTTACCACTCAGGAGCACCTTGAGCTGCCTGTCATAGAACTCTGCCTCGCGGTGGGACACGAGGGCGCACTCCGCGCACTGCCGCACAGGGTCCACAAAGCACATGCGTCGCAGTGGCACCTTCTGGCTGCAGCACCTGTCACAGAAGCACTTCCCGCAGCGGCGGCAGTGGTGCTAGCGGCAGAGGCAGGCAGTGAGCACCTGTGTCCTGAGCCTGCCCTGCACCTGAGGCTCTGTGCCACTTCTGTGGGAGCCCAACAAGGGTCTTCCTCACAGGCTCTGCTTAGCTTGGGTCTTTTTAAAAACTAATCAAAAAGGCCACTTTCCAACTTTTTTCAACTTTCAAATCTTGCTGCCCAGGACACCCTTGTGTGCTGCCGAGGCAGGAAGGGTGCTCCTGAGGGCAGCCTGTGGGGCCTGTCCCTGCAGGAGCCCAGCAGTGCAGAAGCAGCATGTGACGCATCAGGACCCACCAGAACAAGGCATCACTTGAATCCAAAGGATCCTACAGTATCATCCCCTCCCAGAAAGAGGCTTACTGTCCCACACTGGGTGCCTGCCTGGTGAATGCACCTACCACCACCCACTGGATGGCCTCAGCTCACCTTTCTCGTGATAAAGTCAAACTTGGCATCACATTGCATACATCTCGGACACTAGGAGAGAATGCAACATAGTATTAAAATCCAGCCGTCACTTAGCTAATCTGCTGAGGCAGGGGCAAGAGGGACCGAGACTGTCCATA